CCCCCCTACCGCGCCCGCTCCCTCCTGCCCGCGGCCGCCGCAGCCTCTCCCCTTGCCGGTCTTCCTCGCCGGCTCCCGGGAGGACTCGTTCCCGCCCCCGAGCCCCCAAGCTGGCCGCCTGGGTTCCCTCCTGGGTGTGGGTGGAAGTTAGAACGGAAACCAGAAAGTTGCCTTTTGCGAAGACCCAGCTTCCCTCAGCCTTGAGCCAGGGCGAGGACCGTTCGGGGGAAACCACTTCCCGGCGCCCTGCGGGCTCGAGCCTGACAGGGAAAAAGTTTGCCTGAAACGGGGCTGGTTTGCTCCATTTGTTGCGGGAAGTGGCAGGAGGGCGGCAGCGGAGGGAGCCCCACCTAGTCTGGCAGCAGCCACCGGGTAGAGAAAAACTGTTAAAGGGGCCTTTCCCTTCGTCAGCAAGAGGAAATCTGTTTCTCTTACAGTGAGAGAGAAAATCCAGGAAGTTTGTCCTCTTTTTCGCCATCTCTATGTGTCTAATCCTAAAACTGTCAGTGCCTTACATTTTGTTTAAAACTACTCCCAGTGAACCGGGCCATCCGAATTTTTTCCTCTGAAAAAACTGATAGCTTTCGGAGAAGAAATCATCCTTGATAGTTTTAAGTTTAAGTAGATTTGCTTTCCCTTCGCCTGCCCCCCTCCCATTCTCTTTATTAGTTTGGAAAAACATTTTGGCCCTTCTTCTTCTGTTTCTTATGAGCATAAGCAGTTCTGTTTTACAGTAATGGGAAATCACATTTTAATGGGGTAGAAAGTTTACGGTAAATGGAGGTTTATTTTAATATTTTAAAATTAATTCATTCTAACTGGATTTTTGTTTCGCTAGTAGCATGTAATATATATCGAGCGTTTTATAACTTACAGCTTAACTCTTTTTTTGTAATTAAAATGCTGTTTGGACTTGCTCAACAGAACCTTATCTTAGCAAGAAGTAACTTACGAAAAGGGAAGCCGTTCATTTAACTTCAAGCTCACATCACTCCCAAAAGCTGACTCGAATAGTATTTGAGTCATAATGGAGTCATGGGACTTTTTTAAGGCCCGGAAAGAACTATTGAGATCATCCAGTCCCACCCTCTCATTTTATGGAGGAGGAAACTGAGGCCTAGGAAAGATAACTAGTTAGCGGTCCATAATAGGGAATCTAGAGGAAGAAATACAACATTTTTGCATTTTACAGAGGATAGTACTCCCATCATACCCAAGAAAAGATGGGTGCCTTAGTCAAATAGTGTGGAGGAACCACTTGGATAGTTTCATTCCAGGTATTAAGAGAGGACATTGCTACTCAGGAGATTAAAGAAGTTTAAGAACACAGAGCCCTGAATGATAGTTTTATTTGAACCCATCTCCTCTTTTAATCTCTGCACTACACAGTGTTTTCCCCTGCATTTTCTTGTTTGGCATTCACAATAAATTGTGAGGCTACCTTATCTGAGGACTCCCCAAAGTAAATCTTGGAAATACATATAGCCAGTTTGATTTTAATGTGCCATGTACCAGGATACAACTGAAGAGCCCAATAATAATTTGGTGTAATTTTAAAATGTGGAATGGGGCATGGAAAGGAATGCATTTCTTGTCTTTTGCCTCCCCCACCCCCACCTATAAAAGTCATCTCTTTTCCTATGACACATATCACTTCCTATCTTCTGTTATCTTTGTATGTATTTTTGTTACGTATTCCGCTAAATTGTAAACTCCAAGGACAGGATGTGTTCCTTGTATGCCCCAAAACACTGGCATGATACCTTGCACATAGAGAATACCAGTTTGTCAAATGTAAGCACCATGAGGGTAGGAACTTTATTCCTTTCATTCTCTGCTGTATTCTTAGTTCCTAGAACCTTGCCTATGCACACAGTAGTTGTTTAGCATTTAGATTTAGAGATTAACTGTAATGAACATTTCAAGAGAAGGTATTTGAAAGAGAACCTTGTATTCCTTCTAAATGAAACATTTTCACAATAGCTTTGGAAAACAATTCTTTACTATAGAATTTCATTATATTCTCTTAGTTATATAAAAAGAAGGTAAGCCCCCATAGTAAGGAGCTACCTTGTAAGGAGGGCCTAGCCAGATGTAATAAAGAATCGATCATAAAAACAAACAAACCTTGATCCATGTACGTAAGGATCTTATCAAATGTGTCTTCCAATTTAATTCAAGATTGGTAGGCCTATGCATAGTTTGATAACATGGTA